ATAGAGAGGTAACAATAGGGTAAGGGCAAGGGATAAAGATAAGGGTAAATTTGGAAACTGAAAAAACTTAAAGTGGCGCTTAATTAATACATGAGAGGTATGCTTAGTAAGCGACGCTTTAAGCATCTCTTTCGGTTAGTAAACAGTTTTTTAAACACCTGTTTTACTAACTTAAGTGTCACTTTATAGTTTCGTAAATGATAGAGATAATATGACACGCCATGTGACTTTTTAGGAATTACGCGATTCCATAAAACCACTCTATTTTCTGGCGGCCGCCTCGATCGGATCGGCCGTCTCTGTTTAAGAGTTGCTGAGTTGGCAGTCACCGGCGGGAAAAAATGCGGCGCCCGACATATGTTCTCCTGCTCGCTGAATTTCTCGTCTTTTTCGCCGCTATTTCCACCGGGAACTTCGCCGGTTTTTCTAGCATACTCCTCAAGTCTGATGTCACTGGACTATGTACTGACCTCATTGAACCTGCCGGTTTCCCTTGCATTGAACACTCCGTAAATCTCCTATCACGCTGGATCCATTTTTCTGTATTTTCTGTCGATCGTTTTTTGTCTGGAAATGGTGAATTACTGACGAGGTTGCACCATTTTTACTATTTCAAACTCAGTTCCTGCCTTAAACTGCTTCTGCCTCTAGATTCCTTTTTTGTTAATTTGATTTACGAATTACGAGTATAAGATAGCTGAGGTAATGTATCTAATGTTTGATGTTTCATTACAGACTGAAACGAAGGATGGATACGTTCTTGGGCTTCAACGGGTTGGGTCCAGCTCAAGAATTGTCAAAGGAAAATTGGGTCCCCCGGTTCTACTTCTTCACGGTCTTTTTATGGTAATATTTTCTACAATACCTTGTGTTGATTTATTAGTGTCACTCTTACACTATGTACGCTCTTATCTGAATCCACGTTTTCTGGAGTTAGATTTGTCAGTTGCTGATGGAGTAAATTAGTTATCTGCGACTGGGATTTTCAAGTGTTAGTTAATTCGACAAGATAAAGATAGGCATTGCTTTTTCAGTAACTACTGAATGTGAGTTTAGTTACCTTCCCAATGATTTGTCAAAGTTTTATTCAAAACAGGCCGGAGATGCATGGTTTCTGAATTCTGTGAATCAATCGTTGGGCTTTATACTTGCTGATCGTGGCTTTGATGTTTGGGTTGGAAATGTAAGAGGCACTCGCTGGAGCCATGGGCACGTATCTCTTACTGAGAAAGATAAGGTAAACTTTACATTATTGCATTTGAATGGTTTGAAGTTTATGCTATGTGGCTTATATGCATGGCAGTTCAAACAATTCATATTGGATATTTAAATTTTAAAATAGGATTTCTGGGACTGGAGCTGGCAAGAATTGGCTCTTTACGATCTAGCAGAGATGACACGCTATGTATATACAATCACCAACTCAAAAGTCACTATTGTGGGACACTCTCAGGTATAAATTGTTTTCACGTACAAAGCTTCATGTTGGTTCATGGTCTTTTTCCTAACCATTCCCGGCCATTTCAGGGAACAATAATTTCTTTGGCTGCTTTTACTCAGCCAGATATAGTTGTAATGGTTGAAGCTGCAGCACTTCTTTGCCCCATATCGTATTTGGATCATATTTCATCTACTTTTGTCCTCAGAATGGTCAAGATGTATGTAGATGAGGTATTTGGACTCCTCCCCCTTGTTTTAATGTCAATAATGTGGATATTATTATTTATTATGATAACTTTTTTAATCATTTGAACAGATGTTTCTTGCATTGGGGATTCATGAACTTAACTTCAAGAGGTTTTGCTATGATATTTTTCAGTGGCTTGAATTAAACCCTTGCATTATTTGTGGACACTTCTATTAATACTACTGTTACTATTGGTTTCTTTCAGTGACCTTGCTACTCACATCATGGATTTGATGTGTGATGGACATGTTAACTGTGATGACATGTTATCAGCTATCACAGGTTCCAATATTTCTTCTTTGAACAACATGACCGTAGTTTTTATAAAGTTAATGAGGCTTCCCTAGAAATGAGACTATAGGCTTGAGCCCTTGAGGTTCTTGCTTCTGTGTCACAGAGAAGCATTTGTCTTCACCATGGCAAGGCATACACCTTTTGAGGTGCATGAAACTTCTGTCCCCATCTATGTTTTGAGTGTATTGCGAATATTCTCATTGTATGTTGCTGGTCTGCTTTATTCCCCAATATTGGCCACTTAAACAGTGTCCATTAGAACTTCCAGCCGCATTTGCAGTTTTCTCAGAACCCATCCTTTTGATATACTGGAGGAAGAATAATTTTTGCAGGAAAGGATTGCTGCTTCAACTCTTCTAGGATTGACTTCTACCTTGATTATGAACCACACCCATCATCCACGAAGAACTTGGTTCATCTTTTCCAAAGTAACTCATCTTTCACTGCCCATACATGATCAGTACTGTTAGGGTCAATGTCCAATTTCTCATCTGTCTGTGAATGAATCAGTGATCAGGAAAGGCACTTTTGCAAAGTATGACTATGGGGTGTGGAAAAACATGAAGCTTTATGGGCAAAGGAAGCCTCCAGAATTTGATCTTAGTCAGATTCCCAGTTCTCTGCCTCTGTGGCTGGGCTATGGAGGGAGCGATGCCTTGGCAGATGTTACAGATGTTGAACACACACTCAGGGAATTGAAAAGGGCCAAGCCAGATCTGCTTTATCTTGATGATTATGGCCACATCGATTTTCTTTTGAGTGTTCGGTCCAGAGAAGATGTTTATGACAGCATTGTTGGGTTTTTCAAGTCATTGCAGAAGCACACAGTTATTATCAAGTGATTGATTCATGACTTATACTCCTCTCGTCTATCAAAATTTTCCAGCTCAAGCTTTGGAGTGATTCCACTTATCACTATTTCTGTGTGTAAATCTACAGATATGAAACAACTTTGTATATATGATATTATGATTCCACTAGTCACTATCTTTGTTTCAAAAACTACATTACCTATATCCAATTCTATAGAGGGTGACCATCACCCTCCATTTTTTGGGTTAAGTAGCTATATAGCATACGGAGTATATAAATAAGAGAAATTCAATTAATAAATTATATTTTGATATATTAAATGCATAGCATATTTTTAAAGATTTTTTAGCTTTCATGTTAAGTGTTAACTGAATGAATGGGCTATTTGAAGTTGTATATACACCAAATGTTGCTCAAATTTTAATGTCAGAAATACAAATCAACCCTGAATAGTAAAATAAAGAGCAACTTTAAATAATACTCCCTCCGTATTTAAAAAAATCATAAATTAGGTTTTGGCACAGTATTTTAGAGGGAAATAGTAGGGTAATGAATAGTGTAGAGAAAATAGGAGAGAAGTTAAAACTAGGAAAAGTAATGGTAATTGAGTATTTTAAAAGGAAAAGTTTACCAAAAAAGAAAAATGTAGCAAACTTTTAAATACATTCTCAATAGAAAAGTGTAGCAAATTTTTAAATATGGAAGGAGTATGGAGTACCAATTATCAATGATAAATTAATAATCATATATACTTCATTTCTTTTTTTGTTACAACTTTCTCATTTTCACATTTTCCAACATACAATTTTGACTTTCAATATATTTATTTTCGGGAAAAGTGTCAAATAGGCCCCCCTACTAATACAAAAAAATCAATTAAGCTCCCGAACTAAAAAAACACCCAATTAAACCCACGAACTATAAAAAATGAGGCAAAACGGCCCTTTTAACATGTAATTAACCGGTTCCCGATTCCATTAGTCCACGTGTCGCACACGCATCGCCACGTGTTGCCATTTGTGGCCACTTGTCGGCTGTCGCTACGTGTAAAGGTTTACCGGGAACCGGTTAATTACATGCTAAAAGGGCTGTTTGCCTCGTTTTTTATAGTTCGTGGGTTTAGTTGGGTGTTTTTTTAGTTCGGGGGCTTAATTGACTTTTTTGTATTAGTAGGGGGGCCTATTTGACACTTTTCCCTTTATTTTCCCATTAGTGAAAATTTTAAAAAATCAGATTTGGTAATTTATAATGAGACAAAGTAGCACTATATAAATAAAGAATTCATCATAATCAACTATTCAAATATATAACAAAAAATATGAAGCATTTTTGTAGACCGAATCTTGTTAAAGAATCTATCAAAATAAAATATGATGATAACTATCAACTAAGCTTTATTTTATGGTTCGGTATAAGCTTTTAGAGAGAGAGACATCATACACGTTTGGTCAATCACTAACAGTCTGAAAATGAAAATTGGCAAAGTCTCAACAGGATGTTAATTCTTATTACGCTATCAAAATCACTTTTTTGATAACTTGAATCCAAAACTTGCACATTTGGAAGACTTTTTTAAAAGTGTGAGATGTGGTCTAATTGTATCACCTCCTTGGCTCCTTTGTTACTTATGATTTGGTTAAGTTTAAAAGTAGAATTCTTTGGTATTTAAACAATAATTAATGTACACTTTGCTATGCCAACACATAATTGTTTGTGACCGATCCAACGCGTACCCAAAAGTGTACGCTTTTATATACATGAAGTAGCTTTGCTGTTATAGTTCCCACTATCATCAATATCTATAAATAATACTAGGTATATTAGATGTGAAATAACAAATTTAAAGTTATGTTTGAAATTGATAAATGGAGAAAAATGAGCAAAATCATAAATTATTCATTTTATGATTTTGCTTATGAAAGGAGGGATCCAGTTCCAGTGAGAACTCCCTTATCGTGAGAAATGAGAACACTCCAAAATGCACATTATTGTTCATGAAAATGCACAATTATAATTAGAGCAATACAAAATTCAAATATGCACTTTTATGTTTAAACTTTTGCACAATCGAAATACACGTTTTCTAATTTTCTATATGCACTTACATGAATGTATATTTTTTATATGAAAATGTGATATGATTTGTATGAGGTTCTTTTTTTTTTTTTTTTTTTTTTTGAAATGTATAAGGTTCTTTGTTGAACTCCATACATTTTTGTCTCGCCCCATTCGAGTCCTAGCATTATTCCCCTCCGAGGCTCAAAACCCCCTCTACGCTATTTGTTTATGGGAGAGCGTTTTGTCTTGCGCCGAACTTCCTTTTTTTGCAGGCGGTTTATCCCCTTACAAGTTGATGAAGATGCGTTAAGCTCAGCTTTCTACCTCCGCCGAGGCCGCTGTTCCACTGCCGCAGCCAAAACTGAGGCGGTGAAAGAAGCCGATAGTGCAAAGAAGAAAGACAAGCGATTCACTCTGCCCCCATACACTTCTTCTATAGATGGCACTGCTCTTGGGAGAGAGCTCGCAGGCAGGCATCAAGATGCTAAGGAAAAACCTTCCACCGCCATGACTGCACTAAAATGGGTTCTGCATTGCTGCCCTGAGTTGCCAAGGTCTCTTGTACAGAAGCTGTTTCGATTAAGACAGGTCTAGAAACTTTGAATTCAGTTGAAATGCAACGATTTTGCGTGAATCTTTGAAATTTGAGTGGTGATGTTCGTTTTTCTATCACGCGCCATATTCTGAGTTTGAGCAATTGTCAGATTAAAGTTGCAGAAATATAGCTGATTCCTGTCACCATATGGTGTACTTGATCCTTACTAGCTTAGTGCACATTTGATGTAGTTAAATGTTTTCATTGTTTAGGAAAAACGGAGAGTAAAAAATTATTACTATGCCAAAAGTAGACTTTATGAATCATCAGTTGTACTTATTGGGGCAGGTCCGAAGGGTATCCTCTACTGATCAACAACCTCAACACAAAAGGGTAAATGCAACCTCTTGGCTCTTTAGACTGAGTTTGTCACCTGCATACAAATGCACCATCTTGTAATGTTCATATCTTGATTTACCATAAAGAGATATTTTTAGTTAATACTTATTTGTGTCCATGATGTGTTATGTTCCATGAAGGTCAACGCCAAGGAGTCAATGTACATTGGAGATCAAATAGTTCTTCCTATAACAGTTGAAAAGTTTCCTGCTGAAAAACATGTTGAGAGCCTATGTAGTGAAGAACACTCAAAATTTCTTCAAAGTATCGAATTGTACAAGGTCTGAGAGCTAGTATGGATAATTAAATCCTATAAAGACCCCACCCCCTTTAAACAATAGGGAAAGGAGAAACATATCTTGAATCCCTAGGTTAACTTTTCTTATAATCTTTAAATCTTATATCATGTTTCAGGATCCATCTATTCTTGTTGTCAATAAACCCCCTGGGATGCCTGTTCAGGTAAATTTATGAGCACCACTCTCTCACTCTATATATTATAACTTTAGAACTGTAAAAGAAATTGGTGTGTTGGACAGGGTGGTGTAGGCATAAAAAGAAGTTTAGATGAACTGGCTGCAAGATACATGCGATATGGCTATCCAGAGCCCCCTCGTTTGGTATGCTCAAATTACTTATGGCTCTAATTATACTCTCCCCATTCATGTTAATTTGTCTGTGTACACAAATCATACACTAAGAAAATGTGTGGAGTGATAAATTAATCAAGATTTGGAATCATCATCATCATTACCCCAGTGGCCAGTGCCGCAAAGGCTCCCACCTACGGTGGGGTAAGGGGGGTCAGATGCACACAACCTTATCCGGGTACTAAAGTACAGAGAGACTGTATCCAGATGACCCATAGTGAAAATCGCGTCGAAAATTGCATGGACTGACTGCTGCTTCATAACAAAGAAGCGCAAACAGTTTAGTGAGCCATTTTGATTTATTCCATCATTTTCTCAAGCCAAAAAGTAGTGAGTCTTTGGCTCCATTGAAAATGACGGAAATCAATCATAATCAGGACTTGGAATGCTTTCCTAAAATCTAATCATTAGAAGTTTACCTTTTATTTATTTCCTTTTGAGAAATAGGGTATATTGAATGGTATGAGTAGGGTAAATTGAAAACAAAGAATGTGCATAGGTTTCATAAATGGAAAAATAAAAACGAACAAGAAAAATTGGTCAACTTACACATATAAATAGGAAAAGAGGGTGTAGATGATATTGTTAAGACTTAACGTTTGAATGTTCGCAATTTCATCCCTGCCACTGTGTGTTTGTTCCCACTTCCTCACCCGTTTTAAGAACTATTACACATAATTATGAAATGAGGGTGTATATGATACTGTTACGGTTTCATCCCTTCCACTCTGTGTTGGCGATCCACTTCCTCATCATCTTTGTTTCTTTGTTAGACTACTAATCTCATTTTTATGTACATGTTCTGGCCAAGCTCTTATATAGGTGCACAGACTAGATAGAGATTGTAGTGGGATATTGGTGATGGGAAGAACACAATTGAGCACAACAGTTTTGCATGCCATCTTCCGAGAGAAAACATTTGAAGCATCTAATGCTGTACGGGGTTAACTGTATCCATATTTCCATTGAAGTGCTTGAAATTGTACCTGTTCTAAATCTTGTATCTTAACATAGTTTTGCTTTCAACCCTGAAAGGATGCTGAAACTACAAAAAGAAACTTACAAAAGAAGTATTGGGCACTTGTAATTGGTTGTCCTAGACGTGCTGGAGGAGTAATTTCAGTGCCACTGGGAAAGGTCAGTGTGCACCCTAGCTATTCTTCATTTAAGTTAGTTATTTAAGTAGTGTCTGGCATATTTTGTACTTTGAATTACAAATTTTAGTGACAGGATAAAGTTCTGTTATTATAAGTGGATTCTTGTATATGAAATAGAGAACCAACTTGGAGTGTTGTAAAGTTCTGCTATTGTAAATGGGTTCTTGTTGGAAATGGAAAAGGCTAAAGGGTCAAATAGGCCCCTGTACCGGTCCTATAAGCTCAATTCAGTCCCTGAACTAAAAAAGGTTCAATTCGCACCCCGAACCGACAAAAAATGATTCAAATTTCATTTTTACGGGTAAATAACCGGTCATTTTTTTTATTTTTTGTATTGTTTCTGTTTTTTTCCGATTTATTGCAATTTTGACACTTTTTAATAGTTTAGGAGTGCGAATTGAACCTTTTTTACCGGTTGTTTAACCTTAAAAAATGAAATTTGAACCATTTTTTGCCGGTTCGGGGTGTGAATTGGACCTTTTTTTTTAGTTCAGGGACTGAATTGAGCTTACAGGATCGGTACAGGGGCCTATTTGACCCTTTAGCCAATGGAAAATAAAGGACTCTTTAGTCTAATAATGTGTTAGAAAGGAATATATGTGTGTATATGTGTATATATGTGTTTTCGGCCTAACCCAACCCAAAAGGAATTCGAGAAGTGAAGTTTACTTCGTACTTGTCTATCATATATTTGACACCTGTGTGGTCCAATCCGTTGTGAGGCTCTTTAACACCTCGTGTGAGATACTTTAACATGCCGTCCTAGTCAAACTGGACCAGACAATTAGGGTAGTGAATAAATGGGTCATACTGACTTCAAACATGTTACCGCATATCACATGTTCCAAATGAATAAACTTACTACAATTGAAGCAGGACAAATTGGCTCAATTAGCTGAAATTACTGAAATGTTGGCTGAATTGACTTGAATCATGGAAAAAATATATTTAAAATTCATTTTGGTAATAAAACAGGAAAAAGGTAAATGAGAAATCTAAAATCGTTCTGTTTAGCAATGATTATTTATAGGATACACACAGGTATGTAATGAATTCAAAGTAAGAGAATAGTATTCAAGAAACAAACCAAGCTTTCATTAATGGTTGAAAATGTACAGAAAGTTCACAAGAAACGAGACACCATATCTCAATTCCTCCCAGCCCAGTCTAACTGTCTAACAACCTCCTCCTTATTCCTTACTTCCTTCTATTTATACTACTGATATTATTATTAATAACCCTATCATACGCGGGTCCCTCTTATCTTATTAATATCATAAATCTGTCCGGGTCCCTATCAATTTGGTATGTGCAATAAATTTTTTAGTGTTTGGTAAAAATGATCGGATAAGGCTAATAAGTCTAAAATAGGGATTACCAAACGGGCGCTATATTAAATTTGATCTACCTTACCCCAAAAGGATTTTAAAGAGGTAAAGTTTATCTCATACGTTGATACGTATATTGAGATTTGGTCTGGTAACATTTGAAGTGACACACTTTACTAATATGTGTGTGTGTATGTTTGCATGTATATATGCTTACGTTAGGTAGAACCATAAGTTAGGTAGGGGAAATGTAAGCTGCACAGTAACTTTTCTTAGTGGGTGTAACCATATATTTGTCCATTTGTTGTCGCTTGTGATACAATACCTTAATGGTCCCAGAAAATGTTTTCTTTTGTTTTCAGGTGATGTTGGATAATGGGAAGTCTGACCGTATTACAATCATGGATGATGACCATGCACAATCAGCACATTCTGCTGTCACGGAGTATCGGGTCATTGAAAGTTCTGAAAAGGGTTCGGTTTTAATGCTTGAATGAATGTTGAACTTACCTGATCCATTAAATCTTGAGAGTTTCGTATTGCTGTGGTTTTACTATCTATCAAAAGTCCAAAAGCTATGCTCTAGGCTCTAGTTTCCTTCAACATTGTTTTTTGCCACGGGCCTGTTGTAGTGTTTCTTACATAGTGTAGAACTAACATAGTCAAGCTTGCACAAAGCGTGTCAATGTTTTCCATATGCAATCATTTTGCTCTAGTTTCATTTATTATTTCGTTAAGTTATTTGGTATATACCAAGTACTAATCATTTTGTCAATTTTCTTTTAAAGAAATTAATTTGTGGTTCAGTTGATTTCTCTCTCCTCTGCACAAATCTGAACCACACAGTTTTTACTATTCTAATTTCACACCCAACATCAACTTGGAAAAGTTGAGTGGGGAGGAGTTAGTATATATATAGCAGTATACACAAAATCCCTACTTCACATGACAGTATATGTCCTTAGAATTTAACGGGTTAGTTTCGTCCTAAAGTTTTTAATCTTTTTCTTCTCATAAGAGCACACAAACCTCACAGAATGATATATTGACTGGACCATGATTTTTTTTTCAAAAGGCACGTTTCATGTATTGTTTCCAAGAATTCTTTCATCCCGACTATGAATCGACTTGACTCCGATTTCATATTGAGACTTGAGTTGCAATCATATAGGAGTAGATCAAAATCTTATTATGATGGTTTGTTACTTCACATTTAGTTCATGTGCAGTAAACTTTTTGACAATATGGAATATTTATGGTGTCTAGTAAGCAATTTGTTTTCATAGATCTTGTACATCTGCTTGATAATTCATTGAAAAATATGCAGGCTATACATGGTTAGAGCTATCTCCCCTTACTGGCAGAAAGCACCAGGTATAGATACCTTTCTCCATGCCACCATAATAAATTCTGCCAACACTCGCACGTATGCAAGGAATCCTAAACAAGATTTTATTTGCTTTGAAGCTGCGTGTTCACTGTGCTGAGGTACTGGGAACGCCTATACTTGGGGATTATAAATATGGGTGGCAAGCTCATAGAAAGTTGAAGCACCATCTACCTTATGGTATTCCGAGCCAAAGACTTCCTGATCAGAAGTGGGATTCTTTAGGCTTCAGTTTGATGAATGGAGGCAGTATATGTGACAAGCAGCCTCATCTTCATCTGCACTGCAAGGAGATGGTTTTACCCAACATATCTCTGGCTTTGCAACATGCTCAACAAGCTTCAGATTGTGGTCTGGCAGATGTCGAGACCATAAGGCTCTTTGCTCCTTTTCCTTCCCACATGCAACACAGTTGGGATCATTTGAATTCTTAATCTCTGTTATTTTTTCTAAACATACTACAGATCAGATTAGTTTAATGGATGTGATTTTATTAAGGGAGATTTCCCAAAATAGGAGTAAATGAGGTTTGGAATTCCAAAATAGGACTCCTATATTTACTGTCCCTGTTTTTTGCTATTTCCTTCCTTCTCTTTGCCTGAATTCTACTTTCTGCAGGTGTATATCGGTCTGGGGTCCTTGCATTGCGCTTTGGTCTCTTGACTTGTGCACATATGGTTTTCACCTGTAATTTAGTATTACTCTTTAGTAATTTGTTACAATTTATTTTTTCCAAATATTTGGCATTGTTCCCAAATACTTGTAATTAATTCCAAAATACACTTACATCCTTTTCTGCTTCTTCACCCTTGCTTCTGCTTTTCCTCATCTCATTCTCTTCATTTCCTTTTCCGTTATCTTGCTATTAAACCCAACACATAAAAAACACAAACAACTCAGCACATCCCATATACCATTAAGGTATTCATTTTTTGAAATAATACTTGTTTAAGGTATGTATAAAAAATCTGACCGCTTTCACATTGATGTTGGCATTTGTGCTCTTTTCTTGAATTACTCCCTAACATCTGTTTCTCTACTTCATACACACTTGTGATCATTTCATTCAGAAATTGTGTGTTCACATCTCCCCAAGCATCATTATCATTTACATTGTTTTTAACTTTCTCACTTGCTTCTTCTTTTTCTTCTATTCTTGCACCCTCGTCTGCTGCATCTTTATCATTCTTCTCAACTTCTTCCATTCTTCCTGTCACGCCCCATACCGCGTCTGTGCCACATGGACAACCGTCGTACAACCCAATAAGAATAACCGCAGTTCATCCTTACCGAATTGCACAAGACGTCCGATAGATACATATGCCAAAACCGATTAGTAAACATACATAACACCATCAACCTACAATTAAACACATAGCGGAATATAAGTGTTTAATAAGAACCCACACAAGGGTAAAACAAGAGCTCGCGGGCTCCATTAATTAATAAATCAAAATAGTTCCATGAGCATTATTTAATTATTTAGAAATAGAACCAGAGGAAGAACGAACCACGTCTTCTCTCCATCGATCTCCCGAGCAACGGGTGCAGGAAGTAAGCTCTAGCTTCAACCTGAAAGGAAGGTTCCCCCGAGGGATCAGTACTACAGAAAAGTACCGGTGAGGGCAAATTGTATGTAATGTAACTAACGTTTCTCACGTGAGACCCTCAAAATAGGGTGATAGTATAATTATGAGCATAACTCTTAGCTACCCCTTTTCAAAACAAAATGTATACATATATACATATGAGTAAAATATCCAGCCCGTGGGCCCATTTGTCTTTCAAATCATTTAGGCGTAACAACCTCATTAAATTCACCCTTCCCATGTCTTACCCTCGAGTGGAGTCACCCGCAGGCTGACTCACCCGATATTAAAATATATTTTCTTGTGGGGCCCTTCAGACTCCCATATCACGGACATGGTTTAAATCAATTACTAGACCAAGGAAAATATCCTATCGGAAACTCGTTCCCGATCAAGCACGTTTAATCATTTAACATCATTAGCTTGAGGTTCACCTACCTCGAGGACTATCCGTCCTTACTATCATAGTTTTCATTTCCGGGTTAACCCCGCCTTGAGGAGTATGCATACACCCTCATCCTATGTGTAAATTAATGGAGGTTAACACACCTCAAGGACTACATGGGCCCTTGTTACTTATATGCAATTTGATGGAGGATCCACACCTCAAGGACTGCACTTGCCCTTGTTACCTATGTGTAATTTGCTGGAGGATACCACACCTCAAGGACCACACGGGCCCTTGTTACCTATATGCAATTTGAGGGAGGATACCACACCTCAAGGACTGCACTTGCCCTTGTTACCTATGTGTAATTTGTTGGAGGATATCACACCTCAAGGACTACACGGGCCCTTGTTACCTATATGCAATTTGATGGAGGATACCACACCTCAAGGACTGCACTTGCCCTTGTTACCTATGTGTAATTTGCTGGAGGATACCACACCTCAAGGACTACACGGGCCCTTGTTACCTATATGCAATTTGATGGAGGATACCACACCTCAAGGACTGCACTTGCCCTTGTTACCTATGTGTAATTTGCTGGAGGATACCACACCTCAAGGACTACACAGGCCCTTGTTAGGGGTGTGCACGGGTCGGGTTCGGGCGGGTCGGGTTTGCGAACCCCAAACCCGTTCGGGTTTCTTAATTTAAATACTAGGCCCGACCCTTTGATATTTCAAATCGGGTATTTCGGATATTTTTAAGTCGGATATTATCGGATATCAGGTCGGGTTTCGGATATTTCGGTTATATTAAAAAAAATTATAATTGGATAATTAAAGTGTTTAAATGCCACTTTGACAAAAATTGTACACACTAGTGCACTAAACTTCCAAATTACACAAATAATTTAACACAAATTGCACAAATAATTACACAAATAATTGAACACAAGTATTAATTTAACATATTCAAAGTACACACTACATAATTTAATATATTTCGGATATTTTGGTTATATCAAAATACATTATAATTGGATAGTTAAAGTGTTGGAATGCCACTTTAACAAAAATTGTACACACTAGTTCACTACACATTCAATTTACACAAATAATTTAATACAAATTGCTCAAATAATTACACAAATAATTGAACACAAGTATTAATTTAAATATTCAAAGTACACACTAACATGTATTTCGGATATTCGGGCGGGTCGGGTTGGGATTTTACAAACCCTACCCGCCACCCGGTCTAGGCCCAATACTAATCGGATTTTCGGTTTCGGGTTTTTCGAGTCGGATATCCACTTCGGTTCGGATAATATCCGAAAAAAATATCGGGTTTTTCGGGTCGGATCGGGTTTTGCTCAGCCCTAGCCCTTGTTACCTATATGCAATTTGATGGAGGATACCACACCTCAAGAACTGCACTTGCCCTTGTTACCTATGTGTAGGGGAGAGCAAACCTGACCCTACCCGATTGACCCGATCGGATATATCCGATTTTATTTTTTGGGTCGGATAACCCGACGCGAATGACCCAAACCCGATTCGATTTTTGCAACCCGAGAGTTAAGCGGGTAGCTGGTAGGGTTACCAATTATGCTACTCGACCCACCCCAAACCCCAAACTAGGGTAGTATATATACCACTTTGAATTATTATGCATGTTCAAATATCTCAATTATTGTATGTCAATTACCATATTATGCATATTCAAATATTCCAATTGCCGTATTTGTAAAACTATAACTTTGAATGTTGTATTGTTATGATTTTGAATGATATTTTGACCAATTATCATTTTATTTATCACAATATCAAATATGCCAATCACCGTATATTATTATTTTACATGTTCAAATATGCCGATTACCGTATTTATACAACTATTACTTTGAATGTTATACTAGTATAACTTTGAATGATATTTTTACCAATTACCGTTTTATTTACCACAATTTCAACAATAATAAATTAAAATCCGAATGGACCCAAAAACCGAACCAACCCGACCGAAACCCGAACTTCTTCAACCCGAAAACCCCGATAAATTTTTTGATCGGGTAGGGTTTGAAATTATCAATCCGATACCGGACGGGTTTACCATTTTTGAACCCGACCCGCCCGAACCCGACCCGTGCTCTGCCCTACCTATGTGTAATTTGCTGAAGGATACCACACCTCAAGGACTACACGAGCCCTTTTTACCTATATGCAATTTGATGGAGGATACCACACCTCAAGGACTGCACTTGCCCTTGTTAACTATGTGTAATTTGCTGGATGATACCACACCTCAAGGACTACACGGGCCCTTGTTACCTATATGCAATTTGATGGAGGATACCACACCTCAAAGACTGCATTTGCCCTTGTTACCTATGTGTAATTTGCTGGAGGTTAACACACCTCAAGGACTACACGGGCCCTTGTTAACGTTTGAGTGTAGAGGACTCCTCCTTGTCCTACAGAGTATTATATAACCTTACTTGGTCCTGGGTATTCACCCGCCATGTATAATCTACCACGTACCTCGCCCGATCGTGGTCTATAATTTATTCATTAACGACTAGTCTAAGTCTTAGCGTTTAAACCGTATTACAATCCTTAGCATTTTAAACATCATATTTCATGCAATTCCATGTAAAATATTCATATATAGGATGACTGGGATTAATCCCACGTCGAACCGGGCTTCAATACGCGTTTCGGCAAAAACGGGTACCAAAACCCGTAGCTTAACCGGTGCCGGTTACCTGACCAAACCGGCGCCGGTCCACACTTTATCTTTTACAAAATGAACCGGCAGTAGCTTAACCGGCGCCGGTTCATCCCATAACCGGCGCCGGTCCACTGTCTTGGACCGAGTCAATGCCCCGTTGACCGCCCGAAACAACTCTGATTGATCCGAAATTTTAACACAACATGTATTAAGTCATAAACTATCAAAATATGTCATTTTGACCATTCAAAACATCTCCTATATTTTATATAAATATTTCCAATCATTTTCATGTACAATACTCTAGTTTATTTCTCATAAACTAGTTTGCTTTCACAACTTGAATACTTAAGCACTTTTAATTCTTCCCAAGGATACCGCCTTGCATTACCTTTAATCACCTCACAAAGTGAGCCATTCATGGTTCATCATTCAATTAGAATAATATATTCACAAAATTATTAACTAAGTCATTGGTACCAGTTAATCATTTTTGTATATTACCCTAGTTTATTTCTCATAAACTAGTTCATCTTAGTAGCATGTATACTTAAGCATTTCTTAATTCTTCGCGAGAATAGTACGTGAATTACTTTGGTCATTTCTCATATGAGCCAACAAAACATTTATATTAGTTAATTACCTTGTATAATTCCCTAGTTTATTTCTCATAAACTAGATTTTACTTTAGTGACTTGCATGATTTAATACTTAAATCCTTCACAAGAATACCATCTTTAGTTTCCTTAGTCTTTTCCCAAATAATCATTCATGATTATTCTTCATCAATAATATTAGTAATTCTTTACCCATTAATCATGCCACTTTCACTTAATTTGTAATCAATATGGTTAATCACATGTTTAAACACTTTTAAACATTTTTATACATGCTCACATATTAGATTAATCTAGTTAGTCTCATACATAGTCCAAGTATGCATTTTTATACCTTTGACAATAATATATCCATGATTAATCCACAAATTAATATCTTATTCATTAACCATATAATACTTTCATATTTCATATTCACCATGACTAATCATGTATTTTAATCCATTTAATCATTTCTCAAATCATGATTATGATTTTATTTAGGTAATCCCACGTTTGACTCAAGAGTTACAAGACATGTAGTCGTCCACTCACCTTGAAATGACACTAGCAAGCTTTTATCCTCTTTGTTTGAGCTCCGGCGACTTTTGAATTTTACGGCGAAAACTCCGGCGGCTCCGGTGACTTTCCAGCCACTCCTAGATTCCTGGAGAAGTCTAGAATACTTTGGTAAAATTCCTAACAAGGTTTCACAACCAAAAGTGGTATAAACATCAAAACCTTCCGAGAAGGTGTTTTCCGGCGAACCGGTCTTACTCCGGTCATAACTCCGTTTATGGTTAAACTTAACCTTCCAAATCCTCATTCTACACCTCTAGAAGTGTAGAACAAGATTAAGGGTCCATCATATGATTTATAAAATCATATGAGATTAAATGGAGGATGAAAAATGTTAATGGGATCATTACCTTAATTAATCAAGGTTTTTCTCTTCTTTTCCAAGCTTTTCTTCTTCCTTAAGCCTTCTTCAACCTTGAGCTCGGTTCATGGCTATGAAGGGGAGTAATTGCACAACTTTCTTCTCTTTCTTTGGGTGTTTAGTCGAGCTAAATGTGGGGGAGGGAGTAGGAAATATTCTTCCTTTGTCTCATTGAACAAATAAGTGTGGAAAGAGGCCCACAACTTATTTGATTCCATAAACTTCACCTCAGCCACCTTTCCTCCAAGTTGTGCAGCTCCCCTTGTCAATTTGATGTCCAAAAAAACGTGGGGTTGCCCCTACTCATGTGGAAGGTCATCCCTTTATGTCCCGAAGTATACATTCAGCCCCAAAAGTTGTATTTTCTGGACTGTTTTAATTAAATTTTATTTCATCGGGTCAAATAAAATATATATCATTCTTCCAATTAATATTGGCCTCTAGAATGAATATATATTACCCAACTTTAATTTCGTGGTCTCCGGGATTTATTTTGGGCTTGTTTAATTACCTATACCAGTAATTGACCGCATTTGATCAATCGGCCAACCCTATGGCTAAACAGGAATATAAACCATCATATAAATATCATCTAGACAAAAATGAATGTAATATGTGGTCCCGAAAATATCAGATGGTCCCCGCACATGTATGGGCCCAACATGCATTTTACTGTTCAAGTAACAATAAAAATAAGAACATGTTTCCTCGAAAATTCATTCATCATTTCTCATGACTAAATATGTGGTTTAATATTTTGTGACACTTCAATAAAATGTTACACTTCTTTTTAAGTGGTCTGATATGTATGAACAGATAAAATCTTATCTTTTTGTCCTCATACAAAATATCTTCGAGGTAGGGTCATCCAAAAGTACTCTCCTTAATATACCAAATTAATCAATATTAATCATCCCATTACTTTTGGGTTCTTAAAATATTTATATTTCTTCTGTTATTAATTCGTAGTCCTCCGAATTATTATCAATCCGTTAATTAAGGACGCACAATAATTATCGATTAGTGACTCTGGCCCGCTTGGCCATCTAGTTGTTGTTTTTTATATCAATGGGGTCCACGACCCATACCCACTATCATAATAGTATCGTTTTGGAAAATAATAATATTTTATAAACTTGAAAAATCACGAGTGGTCCCACGCCTAAATTAATAACTCTTTATTAATTTAGGACAAAATTTTACTTTCTCATTTATCAAGACTACTCTTAGTCTTGATTTACCTTCTTTAACCAAGTACTTTACGAAAAAAATTTATCTAGGTAAAATTCGGGTCCGGTGTTACACTTCCACCCTCGGCTATTGCACTTTCAGCATTCTTTTCAACAGTTCTCCTCCTCCTCCTCCTCCTCCTCCTCCTTCTTTCACCTTCATCTGCTTTCTTTAGTTTTTCCTGAGTCTCTGGTCCAAAAATATTAAAATTTGGCAAATTGCTTTCCACCCCATCTTCAGCATTATCTTCAGAAACCGAAGCATCATCTTCTACATTCTCATCTTCACTCTCTGATTTTTCATTTGATTCTTCCTGCTCGTTGTCACATCTTTCATTTGTACTCTCCTCGATCAGTTACTGTCTGCTTACCCTTCTCTTGGTTATCTAACTTTTTTCCAATATTGCTTAAGAAATGTCTCAAGCCTCTTCTGTGATTTCTTGAATACTTTCATTTCTGCCATTAGTTTGGTATTTTCTTTGCTAAGCTTCCTGCCCTGTCTCAACACAATAGTAACTTTCCTCTCATACCCAAAACCCACTGCGCCTTCATCATCATCCTCTTCCTGCACATCTTCTTCATTTTTTTTCTTTTTCTCCCAATTCTTGTATTTTTCTCCTTCCCTTTCTTCTTCTTTTTTTCGAATAACTTCACATTTTCAATTCTCTCTCTAACTATGCCACCAGTGTTGGGCCCCAAATTTGGAAATTTTTCAATTTCCAAACTTGTAGCTTGCATCCTTTCCCATTCAAACTGCATGAAAAACACCAAAAGATTCCAGTTTATATGTAAAAGTTTTTCAATTCACATGCTATTTAAATACTTAGTAAGTGGATTTACCTCTTTGTTTTTGAAGATTATGGTGCAGAAAACTTCCAAATGTGGCTTTTTTATGAACTCCCACTTTACTGCTCTTGGAATTGACATTTCTCTCCCTTCAATTACCTTGCATATATCTGCCTTTGCCAACCCTGTAAATGTTTCAAACGCCCAGACTTGTATTTCTATTAGACATCCAGGTACAGTCACACGTTCCCCCTTGCACTTCTTAAGGCTCTTGGCATTTGTCCTCATGTTGCTCACCAAATTTGCCCAAACATCTTCAGCCCATGGATATGTGTTGAATGCCTCTAAATCTTCTACCAGATTCGCATAAGAGCTTTGTAACTCCCTAGCCACTTGGTTCCCAAATAATCCATGTGATAGCACATGGAGTAGAGCAATCTTCACACCATCATTTTGTTCAACTTCTGGTTCTTTACTATTATATTTCATCAATGCATCTTGTACCTCTCTTCTTTTCACCCTTGATTTTCCAAAGTATTTTTCCCATAAAGGTCCTTTCATCTCCTCTTCTAAATCTGATTTCACAGCATCCATTTTCAATCCTAGTGCCATGCATAAATCTTTTTTGGTAAAACTAATTACACTGTTTTGGATGTGGAAGCGAATAGCTTCTGTCTCTTTTATGTGATTTACCTTCTTCACATAATTGCATAGAAATCTGAGCTGCAGTTGACCACTGATTGTTTTCATTTCTTCCACATCCAAAACCCATCTGAACACTGTCTTTCTAAACTCCTCTACTTCATTTGGATTCAGTTTCATCAATATCCTCTTCACGACTTCACTCAGATTGCAGTAGCAGTCAATGTTCTAAAAGGCGCTAGGCGCTAGTCGGGCGCCAGCATAACGCCTAGCGCCTAGGCGGCTAGGCGGGCGCCTAGGCGGGGATTAATCGGAGACATAAAAATTGTAGTTTTATTAATATTTTGCATAAATATGATTAATAATGTTGTGTTTATGTGTACATAAAATATAAAACACATACATACACACACTAACATGCATGAATGATAAGAGTTTTCACACTTAATAACATATTATACATACTTCTTAACTTCAAGTAATACTACGTAATAATTATTAATAAATAATAATAACACTTAAGAATATATATAAGAACATGTATAGCATTTATATTAATTAACAACTAGTAGTTTTCTTCATATGTGTTGTTACAGTTAAAGATACGTATATCTCTTAGAATACTAAAACAAAAAGCAAAATAAAATGTTCGATGAATCTAGATGTCTAGGCGGTCGATTAAGCGCTCTAGGCGGGTAGTTAGGCGCCTTAGGCGGCCGACTAATTCACCTAGGCGCCAAATCAATTAGTCGGAGCGCCTGGACTAAAATCGAGGCGCCCGACTACCGCCTAGCGCCTAGGCGGGGACTAGTCGGGCGCCTAGAGCGATTTTTAGAACCATGGTAGCAGTTAATGCGCATGCTCTCAATATTCTCCAATTCAGTTTCCTTGAAAGATCTCTGAATCACCTAATTAATAAAAAAAAATTGGCATGACTAAAATGTCAACTACCATTAAACAAACAATGTGGTAAAACATGACATTCTTATTCCATAACACCAACAAATAAAAACAAAAGTGTCATTACATTCAGAATAGTTTAACACTCCATGGCCGTAAGCACATATTTTTTCCAAAAATATGACCATTACAATTGTCATTTACTTCACTTCTGCTTCGCAAAATTAGTAATTCTTCCAATATTTTGTCATTATGTATTTTTTTCCACATCTCTCAAACTATTAATTAAAATTTTGTAACACGTGACATCCTTAGCTTATTCCATAACATCACCAACTCAAATAAAGTGTCATTAAATTCACACTCCATGACATTAAGTACATATATTTCTTTCCAAAACTATGACCATTCAATTTGTATTTCACATAACTTGTGCTACAGAATATTAATATTTCTTCCAACATTTTGTGATTATGTATCCAACTATCTCCAACTATTACATGATGCGGTAAAATATTGCATCACAATATTAGTATTACTCCCAGTTTTACATGTTCCCCAACAACTAAAAAAAGCGTCATTACATTCACAATAGTTTAACACTCCATGGCAGTAAGCACATAATATTTTCCCAAAATATGACCATTACAGTTGTCATTTACATAACTTCTGCTTCGCAAAATTAGTAATTCTTCCAATATTTTGTCATTATGTATTTTTTATTTCCACATCTCTGCAACTATTAATCAAAATCTTGTAACACATGACATCCTTATTCCATAACATCACCAATTCAAATAAATTGTCATTAAATTCACACTCCATAACATTAAGTACATATATTTCTTTCCAAACCTATGAGCATTCAATTCCTATTTTACATAACTTGTGATACAGAATATTAATATTTCTTCCAACATTTTGTCATTATGTATCCAGCTATCTCCAACTATTACATAATGTGGTAAAATGTTACATCACAATATTAGTATTACTCCCTGTTCTACATCTTTCCCAATTTGTCCACTATTATGGCAATCCTCAATTACTATTTACACAAGCCAAGCTAACTAAATTCATTCCATTATTTTGGCATTTACTATTTACCTCAACATACACACAGAAATTTATTCCAAAATATAATTAAAGTTTCACTTGTTTATGACATAAATCACACAGAAACTGCCAAATTTTCTATATATACTCCATTTTAGTGTATTCATCCTAAATACTTCCATTGTCTGTTCATAAATACTGAAATGAACAAATACTCCATGATCTACATGTTTCTCAATTCATCCACAATTTAGGCATTTCCGCAAATACTACTTACACAAATACACACAATTACTGTTTCTTCCAAAATGTGATCCATAGATTAAACAACAAATTCGAATAATGTCCAAAAGTACATTCACACAACATAATTCCATAAATTAAACCAAAAATCAAACAACAAATGCGCAAAATGCCACAAATAAAAAAACTACATTCAAACAACTTCGAATAATTCCATAAATCAAACAAATAAATCAAACAAAAACTACATTTAAACAACATTAATCATTTCACATCCATTATTCATTTTCATTTACATTCAATGACATGCATACTTCGAAAACTAACCAGTGGTGGATTCAGTCGAGCGCTCATTCATCTCGTGCTCTGCCTTTGAAAATCATCATCTTCTTCCATCTTAACTGCACTTTTCCTTTCTTCTTCGTTGTTTTTGCGGCAGAAAAATGGAAACTCAAATCGAACACCTCCAGGCGCGAGTATTTTTGGATGTTTTGAATCGCTCGATCTGTGCCGAAAAATTTGATTCCATAATAAATGTGCTAATCGTTTGCTATATTTTCGGCTTTCAACTCCCGATGCTTTCCTTCGCGCTTCGAATCTCATGCGGGCCCTGTTTTATTATGGAGGCTAAAATTGGAAAGTCAGGCATTTTTAAGTCATACGGAATGGGTTTTATTTTTTTAGTCCTATTTGTGCATGTGTCCACTTTTAGTCTTAAACGGGTAATTAACTCTTTTATAATTGATTTACATATCCGCAAGAATGATTTAATTTTATCATTAATCAATCTTAAAATTCACAAATTGCAAGTCAATTTGGGATGGAAGAAGTATAAATCTGAATTCACGATCAATAACACAACATCACAATGCACAACAATCAATAAGTCTATGACTAATATGAGAAAATGTAAATTCAATAAAAACTAAAAGAAAGGGTGAAATGCTATATTGCTATGATAACTTATCCTAAAATAAGCATGAGCATAAATGCAAAATATACAAGAACATAAGAGCAATAAGAGATATAGAGGATTAGAGATAATAAGAAGTTAGATTCCTATATCGAGATTAGGAAGGAAAAAAGGCTCAAGAAACTAATGTATCCACTATCTATTTTCTATTGGACTAATGGAAATTTATGACGAAGAATTGGAAAATTGAGGTATAAACTTTGAAGGAGTTAAGGCCTTAATGGCGGTTCAATAATGGGAACCAGTTCAACGGAAAGTCATGCATGTTTTTTACTTAAAATGTTTACGTACGTCTTCACAATTCTTTTTCCTTGGCCGCATGAAATTAGTGGACACAATGCAACCCAAAAACTCAACCTATTCACTCTTAATATAAAGCTTTAAGATTGAGCCTAATTTGTTTTACATTTTTTTGGCCCTAGGGCCGCCCCTGTCACGCAATTGTGTATTTATTTTTCAGTTTTTGAATTTTCATGTATATAGAAGAGTACCAGTTTCTAGTTAGGTTGTTTAGTACACCGAAAGTTTTGACAAAGACGATGTGCATTTGTAATAAATTGCCTTGATGCCGCTATTTTTTTGACAGGAAAATCCGGTTATATTAATATGATTTGGATTGTTACAACAAACTCAAAGAGACCAACGCTGACAACAAGTATCTGTAACCAATTAGCACTATCAAGTATCAACCCTACGGCTAGACTTAGAAAAAATAACCTCAACTCTGAAAGAGCAATACAAATCGCTAACCACTAAACGAGTGTGACATAACAATCATTGGTCATATACGTTCTTCTAACGACATAATATCTGCAAGAATTGTCAATCCTTATTGTAGACCTAAAATTAAAAACATCAACAAAAAACAGAGCAATGTATACAAACTTAACGCTAAAGTAAGACCATAAAAATAAAATAATTGACAAATACTTCAAGCTCCTTGCAAGTATTTTCGAAGTATAATCTTCCAAACCTTAACACCCCGATCGCTCCAGGGCGGCGGTTCCGGAGGGGGGCGGACAGCCGTCTCCCTTGCTCTGAACTCGATCCAAAAATTGCCTCCCTGTAGCACCCCCAATCGCCTCCAGTCGCCCCATCCATTTGTCCCTTGCACCCACAATAGTCCCAATTCTGATACTACCAAAACATGACAGTAGTTACTCCGGAGTAACTATTGCCATATTTTGGTTGTATCAGACTATAAACATGACAATATTTTCCAAGTTTGACAGTAATTACTCATATTAAAAGAGTCAAAACATGGCGGTCTTATTTTGGAATTTTCAAATATTTGTACTCCTTTTTCCAAAATATTTAATAGCACACTCTTAAAGAGGGAATACTTCATTGGCTCGATAAACATTGAAAGTCTATGCACCTCATAGACCTTTTATCCCTATATAGGGTCACTATAATGAACTAACAGTGATATTAAGTATCTTCATTTATATAAACTCACTATAAACTCACAGTGACATTCATTACTCTCCACCTTTAGTACCTTCTACGACATATTTTTATCCATATATACATAATTATTTTTTTAGAGTTGGATTTTAATATAGTATCTAGAAACAAATTCAAAAAGTTGGAGTTGAAAGACAATTCAATTGGACATAACATTTTCTTAAAAATAAATTCTTATAGAAATTAAAAGTCACATTATTAGTCCGAAAATAGCTATGTTGATCGTGCCGTTACTTTATTTCACAATTGACATTGTTGTTTCCACTTGTTAGAAAAACATAGACAAATTGTTAAGAAAATCAATGATCGAGTTCTCTTCTTCAATAACTATTCATTCAAGTTGAATTTATATATATAAATAATTAACTATATTCATTGAAGTTGAAATTGTATTTGTAAGGTGATCATTAACTTTAGGTTGAATTGACAACCATTCACTTGTAAGCATTTTTGGGTATTGAAATTTTCAAGCAAAATACATATAT